AAAAAGGCTTTTTTAAAAAAAAAAGCCATGAGAGGGGGCTAGCCCTACACACAAGCTTTCACACAAAAAAAATTGACTTTATCTTTTACTATGATAGAGTTCTGCTGGCGCTACGTTGTTGACCCCACGTTCTGAGAAAAACGAAAAATGATTTTAGGTTTTTTGTAAAAATGACTTGTTTTTCGAATAGTGAGTGACGATAATCTTCCAAAATTTTTGGAGAAAAAGAGGTGCCGAATAAAAATTTTTCTAGCGTATAAGAGAGCAGACGACGGGCTATTTCCTCGCGAATTTATCTCAATTTCGATGATTCTAGCGAAAAATGACTTTTTTGAAAGGGGGGAGGGCTTAAAATATTAGTATTTCATGAACTCAAGTTCCACGTGTAGAGCCATTTATAGTAGAGAACATCATATTTATTAAATAAAGGACAAGAAACAATATACATAACAGATAATGGAATGAAATAAGAAAATGATTGTGAGAAGATAAGTCAAGCGATTAGAAAGAAGTCATTGTTAGTCTTATGAAAATGTGCAAGATATAAATTTTTGTTTTACTCTTGACGTAAATTTGTCATAATAAAGATGAAGTAATGTTAGGATTGATTGAAAGTACATAAGTATTTAACAAAAATATAGTATTAATGTGCCAGAATATTAGTTTCAATACAAACTTCCGTTTGTCTTTCACTTCCAAAAATAAAAAATAATATAAAATGATTGAAATTTTATTATGTTGAAGTGAATCATGTTATTTTTTCTCATTTGCTCTCTTCATTCTCGACTTTATCATTTATTTACATGTTGTATAATCCTTATATACTTAGCCTAGGGGTGTTGTACTAGCATTAGTGTTAAAATAATGCAAATGCTTGTGCATTAATATTAATTAATAAGCGTAATGCTTTAGTATTATTGGCATTAGAATTAATTAATGCCTTGATGTTAGCATTAATTTAGGATTATTAATAATTCTAATATATTTATTTTGTTTAAGTTATGAACTACTATTTCTAACTTATCAAGGCTACCCAGGGGGTTACTTATGATTCATCAAGGCCTATCCAAGGAGGGTACTCAGATGTCTTCAAGGAACATCGAGAAGGGTACTTAGGACTTATCAAGTTCTGTCCAGGGAAGGTATTTATAGATCTTCAAGACCTATCCAGGAAGCGTATCTATGACTTATCAAGGGCTATAAAAGAGGATACTTATGACTCTTCAAGATCTATCCAGGGAAATTACTTATGCATCACCAAGAGCTATCTAAGGGAATACTTATGACTCTTCAAGGTCTATCCAAAGAGATACTTATGACTTATCAAGAACTATCCAAAGGGGAATACTTATGAGTCATTAAGAACTATCCAATGGTATTTATGACTCTTCAAGACCTATCCAGGAAAATACTTATGACTCATCAAAGGCTATCCTAGGGAGCACTTATGACTCGTCATGGACTATTCAGGGAGAGCACTCATCAGTCTTCAAGGGCTATCTAAGGAGAGCCATAATTTGTTTAGTGCAAATGAGAATTGATGCTTAACGAAGAACTGATCTATAACGCGAATTAAGGAAATGAAACTGTATAGCTTCATTTATCTCTTAATATTTTTGAAAAAGTGTTATCAGGAAATCGTTAGTTGATTAAAATACTTTTAACGAATCTCTTCATAGTTAGCATTAAGTTGAAGTTTTTTATTTAATACTTCGCTTGAAAATAAAGATTTAAGTGAATAACAGTAAGTAAATACCATGGAATTTGTTATTTCTCTTGTACAAAGCTTTTTCAAAATGCCTTTCTTGTGTGAAGTTCGAGTAGAGTCTGTCAAAGTAGATAAATACGTTGACACAAGGTATCCATTGGCTACATTAGACATCAGGAAGGACTCGCTTCGCTATCATAAGGACACAAAGTGCAAATTTTAGGGTCATATGAGGGGAAAATCTTTGGACTCTAATTTGTCCGAAAAACTGCGTGCGCCATTCTTACAATAGCGATGAAAAGCCTTAGTGAAAACTAATTGGTCGAAATTTGTGTATCAGCGAATCAAACTTGAAGGTATTGTTTCTCTGCTTCAGGAATATCAAAACATAGTGTTGTTCACGTCGATGCGGTGATAGCAGAGAATCAGTTCTTTTTTGACAAGAAAAAAAAAAGAAATACAACAGTATCTTTTACTGGTGCATTACTTAACCACTTACTATTTATCAAATAGGTTCTAATTCAAAAAAATTAATTTTAATATTGATGATTAAGTGATCATTAACACTTAATATTCAGTGTGAAGTCGTTACTTTAAGCTTAATATGGAACTAATGCAAACGGTGTAGCCCTACTTCCAACATCTAGTTGGATGGATTATATTCGTTATCTCGAATATTACATGTAGAGAACAGCCGCTAACGCTCACATGAGCGGTTCGTGAGTATGAGCTCTACACCGCTAATATGAATCAACTCCCTGAATAACCCTTGAAAAATTGTAAGTATCTTGTGTATAGACCTTAAAGAGTCATAAATACCCCTGGATTGTCTTTGAAGATCTCTAAATATTCTGCCTAGGTAGATCTTGAAAAGTTATAAGTATCCCCCTGGATGACCCTTGAAGATCTCTATGTACTCTTCGTGGATAGCCCTTGAAAAATTATAAGTGTTCCCCTGGATAGGTTTTGAAGAGTCATACCTAGGGCGAACATTCAGATAATAAGACCTTACAAGAATCGTACATCTGATCATGTATGATCTGATACGATCAGACGAAAATCGTACGGAAAATCGTGGTCGCTGATTTCTTACACTAAGTCGTATTAACAGATCCTTGTAAGACTCTGTTGCGTCGTGAACTAATCACAGCAGCCCAGGTCGAGCAATCAGATAGTAAGATCAGCTATGGATTCATATATGACCATATCCGATCAGATGTCAGAATCGTATATGTTCATATAAGATCATACGAAAAACCATACAAAAAATCGTAGTCTCTGCGATCTGATATCAAGTCGTATAGTACGATTCTGGTATGATCCTACAAGATGATCTGATATGATGACATAGAATCGTATACTAATAATTCCCCTGATACACTCAGAAACATACATAATTGCTAATCTTCACCCACCCTCATCAATTAGACTTCAATCTAACCTTAAATAACCACGTAAATCGATTTAAAAACACAAATCTACAGGTACCTACACTCCTCAACCCAGGGATACCTAGGACTCAGCCATAGGTACTTCTGCGGTACTTAGGACTAACTCCAAAGTGTTTCTGGCACACGTAAAACTGACTTCTAACTACCACAAAGGTAGATTGGACTCACTTTACAGTACCCCAGCTGTACTTAGGACGACTTTTAAATACACCAGATTATATAGGACTCGTAAATATCCAAGGCTACCTAGGACTCACTCCTAAGTATAACAGAGATGGATTGGACTCAGTTTTAAGTACCCCATGGGTACATATGGCTACTTATCAATACCCAAGGTATACCTAGGGCTCACTCCTAAGTACCCTAGAGCTACATTTGACTCAATTTTGAAGTACCCCAGGAGTACCTAGAATCCACTTGTAAATACCCAAGGTGTATTTAGAACTCATTCCTAAGTACCTCAGGAGTATATGGAACCACTTCTAAATACTCCAGGGTGTATAGGACTCACTTATAAATATCCAAGGCATACCTAGGACTCCCTTCTAAGTACTCTAGCGCTGCATTGAACTCACTTTGAAGTACCCCAGGGTACCTAGGACTTACTTATAAAAACCCAAGGGGTACCTAAAACTTATTTGTAAATACCCAAGGGGTACCTAGGACTTACTTATAAATACCCAAGTGGTATCTAGGACTTACTTATAAACACTCAAGGGGTATCTAGGAGTGGCTTGTAAATACCCAAGGGGTACCTAGAACTTACTTGTAAATACCCAAGGGGTATCTAGGACTTACTTATAAATACTCAAGGGGTATCTAGGTCTGGTTTGTAAATACCGAAGGGGTACCTAGGACTTACTTGTAAATACCGAAGGGGTATCTAGGACTTACTTGTAAAAATCCAAGGAGTATCTAGGACTGACTTGTAAATACCGAAGGAGTATCTAGGATTTACTTGTAAATACCCAATAGGTATCTACGACTCACTCCTAAGTACCTCAGGAGTACGTAGAAGCACTTCTAAATACACCAGTATATATAGGACTCACTTATAGATACCCAAGGTGTACCTAGGACTCACACCTAAGTACCCCAGAGCTACATTGGACTCAGTTTTAAGTAATCAGGGGTATCCAGAACTCACTCCTTAGTATCCCAAGGTTGTCTAGAATCCACTCCTAGGTATGCGAGTGGTACATAGAACTGACTTCTGAGTACCCAAAGGTTACCTAGAAGTCGTGCCTAAGCATGCTAGGGGTATATGGAACGTTCTCCTAAGTACTATTTTATGTATTGTCGATATAGGAACATTATAATAGAAGTTGAAATGTTAGACGCGAGGAATATGGAAAAATGGAATATTAATTAAAAATTTTTGAAGTGATAAATTTGCAACAATAAATGAAAAGTGTAATCACTTTGGGCATCGGTGTAGAAAATTAAAAATTGAAGTTTGGATGTTGTATATGTTTGTAAATAGAAACGTATCAAGCATAAGGAATCGTTTTTTATGCTATGACGGACATGAAAAAATGTGAACAAAACTAAGCTTGCGGATGCTAATGCGTTAGAGAGAGAAGGAAGGTAATTGGACTACTCAATTCTGTTTTTTTTAGGTACTCCCCCTCAGAGTAAAGCTGATCGAGTTAATAATGTTCGAGGTAGTGTTATATAGAGGGTGTGGGTGTGGGTGTGGGTGTGGGTGTGGGTGTGGGTGTGGGTGTGGGTGTGGATGTGGGTGTGGATGTGGATTGTGGGTAGGGTGTGACTGTGGCTGTGGGCGTAGATGAATAGAAAAGATACACCCACACCCTATCCATCAAGCACAGCATATGATCATGACTATTGTTCGAAGTTCGGTTCGAATGCATTATCTGTATTTTGTGCCAGAAACTCATAAAGTATGTAGTCTATCGATTTGTTCTCTTGTCTTCCTTCTTATTTATCATAAAAACCTATCTAGGAAAATATTCCAGTTCGATCGATCTTCGTCTGTAATAATGGGCCTACAATAAACATAGTCCGTTATATAACTCCACTTCTATGGCCAATCTTTGATCGAGCAACTAATTGCAGACGATTTTCAAATGGTGCTATTGATGTTATCCATGCTATTGAACATGATGCTCAGATGAGTCACTTTCAATCTCCAATTCATTTTGTTACATTCAATTTGGATGATTTAACCAACATTTTTCCTCATGATGAAAGCATGACTGCCTTAAACTATTTACTTCGAGAACAGTTACCAGATCAGAGTATAGCTGGTCTGACCATTGATACTATCCTACAATTAGTGCAGCTTGTTTTAACAACTCAATTCTGTATTTATAATGCTGCAATGTATCAACAAATTCATGGTGGTGCTTCTGGTTTACCATTAACTATGTTCTTGGCCTATACTTATTTATTTTTTGGACAATATCGTGAACTAGTGAAAAATTTCACAAAAAAGAATGAATTTTTTGGCAGGTAAACTTAGAGAAAACTTTTTCTGTCATCATAATAACTTATGTTTTATTGAACTTTCTCTGAGAATAGATATCGATAACAAGCAATCTTAATATGGCATGGATCCGAATATCAATTTCATATATTGTTCCATAAAAGTACTGTTAGGACAGCACATAGTCGAAGTGTCACGACAATATCTATTGGATCGACAGTCCATTTTCATGATTTGGAAATTAGCTATACCAACAAAGGTACTCTCGAAAGTAAAGTTTATTACGATCCAAATATTGTTGATACTTTACCAAATGTATCTGATGAACTAATGGAAAATGCCACCAAACAATTATATGCTGTTCTATATCGAGCCGTTCGATGCTGTTCTGATGTGGAAAAATTCCATAGTGAACTACTTTATATTCAGGTATCATTTGTGACATTTGGTTTTACATCAGAATTTATTCATTCTGGCATTCAACGTTTTTACCAACAATTTAATATACTAGAAAAATTTTGGAATTTACGTTTGAATGATAATGAATATGATCATTTACGTCGGTGTATCATAGAAGATGTTGAACAACAAATAGAATTGAAGCAACAATGTGAACAAGCAAAAGAACATACATTATTTATGCCATGCCCACGTTTAATGGATGAACAAAGTACCGATGCTTTCAAACAATGTTTTGAATATTGGTGGAATAAATATTATGCTAATGAATCATCACCAACAAACTTTATTCAAATCACATGGATCCCATGTGTTCGAATGCGATCGAATTGCGACGCAGTTACGCGTAACTGCGATCGCACTGTGACTCGTAATTGTGGCGCAGCTACGCGTAACTGCGAATTTTTTACCGTAGCTGCGCGCAACTGCGATATTTTATTCGCAGTTACGCGTAACTGCGTCGCAGTCGATCGTAGTCGAACATATGAATTTTTTTGCTGCGATCAATGCGCCGCAGTTACGCGCAGTTACGATCAAAATTTCGCAGTTACGCGCAAATGCGACGCAGAATTGGCTCTACGCGTAACTACGACGCAGTTGTTAAAAAAATGACGACATGGGATAGAATAAACACCAACTTCTTTGACAAATAGTGATATTCTGATCAATAGACGACCACCTCTTCGTCTTTTAACTTTATCAAAACATCATCAAAACAAAAAGAGTTCGTATTGCTTGATTTTTCTTCTTCTCTTTTCGTTATTGATTTATCTCTTATTGTTATTTTTCTTTTCTATAGGATACCATCCTATGGATCCATTTTTAACCAATATTACTCGTCCATACTACAAGGATAAATGAACATTGTGCGTTTTTTGTACTTTACTCGTCGAAGTAGTTTATTTATAATAGAATAGCGGTAGTATTGAATAGATGATTTGATAAATACAAGCTTTTTTTGTTCTTTCATATTTTATAATATAATAAAATATTGATTAGTTGTGCTTTATTCTAGAATATATTTCTATTGATAGACATTTATTCAATAGGAGTACGATGGCTGATAAACAGCGATATTC